GCAATCGATCTCACCATCTTGCAGTGTTTCTATGGGTCCTGTATTGTTCAGGAAAGAAGGACCGCTCTCCCGACACCATAGCTTCTTACTGGAACCTGCGAAATCTGCAACCTCACTATCACACCTCCTCCGGCACGCGACAACTCGAGTCATCGGATCCTCCCCCTCTCCCACCTCCCAAGTTGTTGTACCAGTAGAGAGGGGGAGGTATATAAGACTAGGGGCGATATCACACTGGTCATCACTTGTGGTCTATCGGACGCTAGGACAGCACGCACGTACGTACGGCTGTAAGTGTAAGAACTAACCAACTAACTACACGTGACCCTGAAGATGGAGGTCAAGGTGAAACAGGAGACGATAGACTATGGCTACCTACTAGACTGTAACTACGACGGATGGCAACATGGCGACGTCGCCGCCGACAGCTACGATCGCAAACCGGATGTCACTAGCGACCACTTCCTCGACCTGATTTTCGCCGGAGGTCTATCGCGCGGCCAGGTAGCGGATTCTTCACGGGAGGTATCTTGTAGTTCTTCCTCCGATGCGACAATCCGTTATCGGCGACGACCTGCGCTGCATTCATAGCCATAGAGATGATGTCATCGGAGCTCATAGATTCACGCTGCTGAAGCTCTGCCGGACGTGAAGCCCTGCCATTAGTAGTCCTGCCGACCACCAGGGGCGCTGCGGTCGCGTCTACCAGAGGCGCTGCGGTTGTGCCCATCGAGGGAGTTGCGGTTCCGTCCACCAGAGGCGCTGCGGTCGCGTCCACCAGAGGCGCTACGGTCGCCGCACCATCCCGTCTCGTCTGCGCTGCACCGTTTGATGGAGGTAAGCAAGCATCGGTACATGTGTGTAGCTGTCTCAGCTATGTATGGGCAGCACAGTGAGAGCATGTGTGTACTTATGTATATGTGTGTATATATATGTGCGCTCTCAACTACTGCAACTAATAGTTTTTATTATATTAGTATAGTTATATTAGTTTTAATTAGTATTTATTTATACATATATATATATATATAAATCTATAAAAAAAAAGACAAAAATATATAAATATAATTCAATATATGTTCATGCTACTATGGAGCATATTTCATCGGGTTTTTGGCGCGAGTAACTTTTTATATCATTGTGTCCGTCGTAACGGTACGCGACATAGTGTTTTCACGACATCACTAACGTTTTCTTACTTCTCGCATCTAAACTAATACATTGCTATCTTTCTTTGCCTTGTGCGTAGGTGTGGTTTCAAGCGCACGCTAGGAACCCGTATCCGACCGGCCTAGAACTACGGGAGCTGGCGGAAGAAGCGCACATCACCGTGGTGCAGACGAAGGCCTGGTTCATCAGGAGAAGACGCAAGGCGAACAAACAGAAGCGCATAGAGGAGGAGGAGCGACTGAGGGAGGATCTTGCTCAGCGGGGAATCCTTGCGCAGAATGTCACCGCACAGCAACAGCAACAGAAGGCGACGACGGCGGCGGCGCCCATGACGATGGCATCCGAGGCTCACGTGACCTATGACGTGGTCGCTGGCGAGCAGACGAACACGCTGTGCGTCATGAGAAACCCGATGACGGGTTACGATACGTTACAGCCGACGGATACGGCGGAGGGAATCCCATCCACATTGCTGCCGACGACGGTGACGCCACCTACCGAGCATCAATACCAGCAGGCGGCGCCACAGACGCCCTGCTACCAGAAGTTCGAGCCGCCAGCTGGCAGCACCGTCGTTTCTCCGGAGCAGGGCTACTTCTCGGCCGACGATGACAGCTTCAACGTGCATCCGATATCGCCGGAGACGGAGATGAAGATGCTGGGAGGGTTTCTTCAGCATCCCTGGGGATGGAATCCGATACCTCAGTTCAGCTACGGGGACGTGTTGAGTTTGCTCGGCAATTACAAGTGACTGATGCAAAAGTCACTCAGTCTTATAGTTACAAGTGACTGATTACAATACTATAGTATAACTTGGTCCTATAGTTTGTTTCACGAGTGATTGATTCTCTCTGTTTTGTTTTCTCTCAAGACGCGAGCCTTGATTCACGACGACTTATAGACAGTCTGTCGTTTCTGTGTTATCGTCGTTGTTCGTTAGGCATGTCCGGTCACGAGCTAATTACTTTATTAATTATCGTTAATTACGTTTCGCATCGTAGGATGCATTAACGTGTTGCCGCGCGCACGAACGATACTAACTTATCGATTGAATCTAATCGATTATTGACTAATTCCGGTGAATACGGTCGACTTCTGGTGATTATTATTGACGATGAGTATCGATATTGCTTGTCTACTATCTCCCTGTGATTTTGTAACCATTGTCGAGTGAAAGTAAGATTCTGAAATCATTTTTTGGTCTGGTGAATAGGAATTGTATTGACGCTCGCAGAGTTCTGACGTGAATTTGTTTTTTTATGACAATTAACCCAGAGTTAGTTTATTTGTGATTACGTGTTATTACGTGTGATAAAACGTGGGAATTTTTTATTCTATAAAATAAACACGTATAAGAAAATGATCCATCGACTTTTCATGCCTTGTTTGTTCTGAAGTTTATTTGACAAATATTCCGCATCCTCTTACCTTACCTTTATCACCTCCCACTTATTTCATATATCATATAAGCGAAATGCAGACTTTGCGGTCGCCAGTGTGCCGTAGTTCTTTAAATAATAATAATAATAACTTTATCACTTATGCAGTACAATTAATCAACTCATACAATTAATTTCTCAATCAACCATAAATCACCTAAATCTATTTTAATACAGAATATTAATAAAAATTAACGAAAATGGACTAAAACAAAATGACGTTGAACTTTTAGGCGTGAAATCAGTGATACGGTGGTACCTGCACGCATGTGCCGCCATCTACAGCGAAAACACTGGAAGACCGGGCTTACGATCTACCCCCGGAACCCTGTGCAATAGTTAAATCGATCGTAGCTGTGAAAAAAGTTTTGCTTAAAATTATCGTGGTTGTAAAAATGCGCGGGTCCATGAATTGCTGCGCTTGGAATCGTATAGTTGTGCAGACTCCATAACCGAGAGCGGTAGCTAAAATAATAATTATGTAATTAGTTTAATTAATGCATTGTGTAGAATCTCTGTTATTAACATTTGTTATTTCAACTTTATTTTATAACAATAATAACGCATAGTGCAAAGCTCTACTGCTGGACTTGCCTTATACGCATCAAAACTTTACCACACATCGATCGCCATATAACATATTATGGCATTTATAGTGGCCGTCAATAAAATATTATATAGGGTTCAAAATTCTTCATCTTGTCTGCAAGTCATTCGATTTTTCACTTATTTATATTTGAAGAAATTGATAATTCAGTACGGGCTTTGCGGTATAATGTTGTATAATAATGTTAATTGAGCCAGCAAATGTATGCGACACCTGACGATGGATTAGGATGCAGGAAAATGCTGCCGTTAAACGTTTATTAAATTCTCATCTAATTAACATAACATTTAAATATAGACGTCAGAAATGAAAATTCACAATAACGTTTGTTAAAAAACTCGCTTAAATTACCATAGAATTTAAATGTAGAATATGAAAATGAAAAACATTTTAAAAGTTTATAAAAAAAACTATATTTAACATGGGAGTGAAAATACATTAGTTATATATTTGNGTTAAATCGATCGTAGTTGTGAAAAAAGTTTTGCTTAAATCAATCGTGATTGTAAAAATGCGCGGGTCCATGAATTGCTGCGCTTGGAATCGTGTAGTTGTGCAAACTCCACAGCCGAGAGCAGTAGCTAAAATAATAGTTATGTAATTAGTTTAATTAATGCATTGTGTAAAATCTATGTTATTCACATTTGTTATTTCAACTTTATTTTATAAAAATAATAACGCATAGTGCAAAGCTCTACTGCTCGACTTGCCTTATACGCATCAAAACTTCACACATCGATCGCCATATAACATATTATGCCATTTATAGTGGCCGTCAATAAAATATTATATAGGTTTCAAAATTCTTCATCTTGTCTGCAAGGCATTCGATTTTTCACTTATTTATATTTGAAGAAATTGATAATTCAGTACGGGCTTTGCGGTATAATATTGTATAATAATGTTAATTGAGCCAGCAAATGTATGCGACACCTGACGATGGATTAGGATGCAGGAAAATGCTGCCGATGCGTGTGTGCGCTATGAAACGCCGCTGACAAACCGTTAATTAACAAACATCTAATTAACATAACATTTAAATATAGACGTCAGAAATGAAAATCCATAATAACGTTTATTAAAAAACTCGCTTAAATTACCATAGAATTTAAATGTAGAATATGAAAATGAAAAACATTTTAAAAGTTTATAAAAAAACTATATTTAACATGGGAGTGAAAATACATTATTTATATATTTGAGATGAGTTTTATTCATTGTTATATGTTAAAGAGATTTAATAATTAGTGCATTTGTTAGACATTTGTCTTTCATACCGTGTTTTATATACTCATACTCATTTATAATGCGCATGTGAACACATTTGATCGTATGTAAACATGTAACGCATGTAAAATCCGAAATAAATACAAATAAATCGTTAATATTACTATTATTGAAGTTACATTATTATTTCATCAGTTCTTTGTAATCGTGCGGTGATAATAAGGATTGCCAAACACAAATGACTGTCTAATCATTCGAATAATACGCGGTACGAACACCATGGACGTTGAAGTTATATGAACCTAATCCTACAGTTACGTAAATTCCTCATTTATACGCAGCATTCAGTACTCATAAACTACATTCCCAAATCACAGCCAACGATTTGGAAGTGTTGCTCAATATTGCATCACTGCCAACTACCACTCCCGCAAATAACAACTGTCTAGATGCGCGCGCACGCAGTTGTTATTGTAACAATAGCGACCAGAATCCCGGGAATCAAACGATAAACAATCGATCATTGGGATCAGCTAATCCAAATCCTCTGATCCCAGGTGACGAAAAAACAGGTATTTATCCCGGGTAGTGACACGCGGGCAAGATAAACAAACATGACAGCAGAATCATTATCTCAATGGGATGCGATACGCAATCGATCTCACCATCCTGCAGTGTTCCTATGGGTCCTGTATTGTTCAGGAAAGAAGGACTGCTCTCCCGACACCATAGCTTCTTACTGGAACCTGCGAAATCTGCANACCAACACCAGCAGCAGCAGCGGTGCAGCAGAATCGGTGCACGGCAGCAGACAAGTGAACGTCGCTACGAGCACGCTTGGCCTCCACGACATCAAGCCCGTCATAACCGGAGAAAATCGCCTCGTTTCGAAACGCACCGGAAGCGATGGCCCGCCGCCGCCGACGTCGACACCGGAAGACGCGACAGCAGAGCCGCTGGCGGATGAAACGGTCGCGAAGGAAACCACTGCGAGTTCTCTACCGAATGAATCTATGGTGGACACGACCGCAGCGCCTCTGGTGGAGAGGATGGCTTCCGATCCGAGTGAACGTAAGGATGGACGCATGAGCTCCGCCGACATCATCTGGATTGCAATGAACGCAGCTAAGGTGGTCGGTGACGACCCAGTGTCGCTACATCGGAGGAAGAACTACAGGATACCTCCCGTGAAGAATCCGCTACCTGGCCGCGCGACAGACCTGATGGAGGTAAGCAAGCATCGGTACATGTGTGTAGCTCTCAGCTATGTATGTGCAGCACAGTGAGAGCATGTGTGTACTTATGTATGCATATATCGTAAATATATATATATATATATACACACACACGCACACGCACACACATACACACACACACATATATAAACACACACACACACACACATATATATATATATATATATACACGCCACACACACACACACATACATAACAATACACACACACATACATACACAACACACACAAGCATATATAGTATATATATATCTGAGTAGGTGTATTCCTGAGAGGAATTTTTGTAGTATTATTGGCGGTATGTTTAGACATATAGTGAGAACAAGGCGTTCGCCGAATATAAACGATATATTAATATAGATGCGCTTTGATCTGTCCCTCAGTGGTGTTATCATTGTCTAATTCGCCGCGCGATATACTAAATCATTTACTTGACATAATAGACATATATAATATATATATATAATATATATATATAATATATAATAGTATATACTGAACGACACGCACCGAAACGTCTTTTTTAATCGTGTCTAATCAAAAGTTCTTGCGTTTGCTTTCCCTTGGCTGGTAGCGCGTTGTAGGTGTGGTACAGGCGGCACGCTAGCAACCCGGTACCCGCGAGGCCAGCGAGCATACACGGCGCTGGCCGGAGGATAGCCACATGCACGCGTGGTGCAGACGAAAAAGCCTGTTCATCAGGAGAAGACGCAAGGCGAACAAACAGAAAGCGCATAGAGGAGGAGGAGGCGAATGAGAGAGCGACAGACAACGCGAGGGCGCCCTCTCACGGAATCTTCCACACGGCGACGGTGGCCGCGACGCCCATGACGATGGCATCCCACGTGACGTATGACGTGGCCAGCGCTGGTGAGCAGACGAACGCGCAGCACATGATAAGAAACCCGATGGCGGAATACTACACGATGACGTCACTGCAGACGGAAGCGACGGATGCGAATCCATCCGTAATGCTGCCACAGCATCCGCTTCCGGTAGAAATGATAGTACCGCCGCTAGCGACACCTACCGAGCATCAGTACCAGCAGGCGGCGCCACAGACGCCTGCTTACCAGAATTCAAACGCACCAGCTGGCAGCACCGTCGTTTTCTTCTTCTACTGTCTCCGGGAGCAGGGCTACTTCTCGGTCGACGATGACCAGCTTCAACGTGCATCCGATATCGCCGGAGACGGAGATGAAGATGCTGGGAGGGTTTCTTCAGCATCCGTGGGGATGGAGCGAGCTACCGCAGTTTAGCTACCTGGATGTGATGAGCGTTCTAGACGGATGCAATTGATTGTCCGAATTAAAATTTCTTGTCGCGTGTATTTCTGTGTTCATTATGTATATTTTCCAACTTTTGCATGCTAAGCGAGCGATGATCTGTGATGAATTAGTTTAGCATTTATTTCTGTTTTATGATTGTGATGATGTGTTTCCGTCTTTGATGATGTATTGACGATTAAGGTAAGGTGCGCTTGTCATTTTATTAAACACATTTTTTGTAATAGTTTGACGTGTTATAGACATTGCGCAATATATATATATATATCGATTAATTTGTGCCGTCATGCGTGAATTCAACTACAGAGTTAATTGATTACACATCGATTCCGGTGAATACGGACGAATTGTCGATTGATACTGGTGATTACTGTCGATGTGTATCAATATTGATCTGTTTATTGATCATGTCTACTATCTACCTGTGATTTTACATATATTTTCAGTAAAAAAATCCGCTCGCAAATTCGTACACGACAAGAATATTAGATTGAGGTTATTTAACGTTTGTTAGCTATTAAATAGTGCGTGTGATAAAACGTGATATTTGTTTATTCTATATAATAAACACGTATAAGATAACGATACCGGAATTGTTAAGCACTAATGCATTGTTTGTGTTGAACTACATACACCGTACAAGTACACACACACACACACACACACACACACACACACACACATACTCACACACATATACATATATATATAAACTATATATGCATGTGTATTATGCATATATATATGCATGCATCAATATATTATATATATATATATATATATATATATAAACTTTAAACACCCTTATTCAATACCGTTGTTTTTATCTATCACGGTGTTCGCGTGTGACTTACTCTCTATATAGGTATACTATAATATATTATTAGGTAATATAAATTATATTATAGGTAATTATTACTTTGATATATATAATTAATATATATATATATAGCACATATAGTATTGATAATCTACAGAAGAATGAGAGAGACAGCAAGCAATTAACGTATCAGTGTTTACAGTTAGATTTATTTTAACAGTTCACGAAACGAAATAATGACCGATTTCGCAAACATGGATGGAAACATATAAAAAAAAGTTTTAAAACGCGCATTGTAGGCCTGGACTGTATCATAGTCCATTGGAGCACAATCATTCATTGAAATACTGTGATGCAAGCAAACATAATTACATCAAAAAGGAGGTATAATACTACAGTTGTTATTCGCTACCTATCCGGTATGATAGGTAATATGTAAATAATCATTTTGATATTAGTCGATATCAAATACGGAATTACAAAAACACGTCTCGTAACTAGTTAAATACCCAAGTATAATCGATGAGTATCAATACGAGGCAATGATACAATCGATGGGCAGTAATCAATTTGACACATGAGTATTACTACGCTGAAAAAATAGTAACGATATATTTATATGTACAAACAACGCAAGATCAGAATAGTGAGGCCACGTGACCATCGCGTGACCATTTGGTTTATATTAATGAAAACATACGCGGTTGTTAGCGTACGCGACATATAAACAGTCAGTGTACGATCAAAATAGAGATATATCGGGTACGAAAAAGTAAAATAACGTATCCCGACATAGCCGTTGGCACAACACTGGCGCTTCTAAAACATCTCGATTCAAAATATCAACAGTATAAGATAATGATATTCGCACGTATATAAAACATTTATCAGTTAGCAGTATAACACGAACGACACATTCAGCTAAAGCCTACACACGACGACTACGACTATTGATTGATATGCACATAAAATGTACGACACAATTTTCTTTTCGTCCTCGAGATTTCTTTAACAAGACTGGACGGCAGTAAAATACATTTGGCACGATGCAGTCTAATGATCAGGTCGGTTATAAGACAACAAATTTCGCACCAACGCCCCTATATTTTTTATATAGAAACGAATATATACGAACCGAAGCTTTAATCATCATCATCATATCTGAAATTAATAATTCAGTACGAGCTTTGCGGTATAATGTTGTATAATAATGTTAATTGAGCCAGCAAATGTAGGCGACACCTGACGATGGATTAGGATGCAGGAAAATGCTGCCGATGCGTGTGTGCGCTATGAAACGCCGCTGACGAACCGTTAAACGTTTATTAAATTCTCATCTAATTAACATAACATTTAAATATAGACGTCAGAAATGAAAATGCACAATAACGTTTATTAAAAAACTCGCTTAAATTACCATAGAATTTAAATGTAGAATATGAAAATGAAAAACATTTTAAAAATTTATAAAAAAAACTATATTTAACATGGGAGTGAAAATACATTAGTTATATATTTGAGATGAGTTTTATTCATTGTTATATGTTAAAGAGATTTAATAATTAGTGCATTTGTTAGACATTTTCCTTTCATACCGTGTTTTATATACTCATACACATTTATAATGCGCATGTAAACAAATTTGATCGTATGTAAACATGTAACGCATGTAAAATCCGAAATAAATACAAATAAATCGTTAATATTACTATTATTGAAGTTAAATTATTATTTCATCAGTTCTTTGTAATCGTGCAATGATAATAAGGATTGTCAAACACAAATGACTGTCTAATCATTCGAATAATACGCGGTACGAACACCATGGACGTTGAAGTTATATGAACCTAATCCTACAGTTACGTAAATTTCTCATTTATACGCAGCATTCAGTACTCATAAACTACATTCCCAAATCACAACCAACGATTTGGGAGTGTTGCTCAATATTGCATCACTGCCATCTACCTCTCCCGCAAATAACAACTGTCTAGATGCGCGCGCACGCAGTTGTTATTGTAACAATAGCGACCAGTATCCTGGGAATCAAACGATAAACAATCGATCATTGGGATCAGCTAATCCAAATCCTCTGATCCCAGGTGACGAAAAAACAGGTATTTATCCCGCGTAGTGACACGCGGGCAAGATAAACAAACATGATAACAGAATCATTATCTCAATGGGATGCGATACGCAATCGATCTCACCATCCTGCAGTGTTCCTATGGGTCCTGTATTGTTCAGGAAAGAAGGACCGCTCTCCCGACACCATAGCTTCTTACTGGAACCTGCGAAATCTGCAACCTCACTAT